GAAAAATGAAAAATAAAAATAATAACCCGAGCCAAGAATCGTAATTTGAATGGTAAAAAAGCGGAAAAAATTAGTTAATGAGGTACAACCCTACCGAGGCTTCCCTAGCGATCGCCATACTTAACTAGCGGAAAAAAGCTTCCCTAAATCGCCGTGCTTCCCTAGCGAAAACCCTAGCCGATCGCCGTGCTTCCCTAGCCGATCGCCGTGCTTCCTAGCCGATCCCTAGCCGACCCCGTCGCCGTGCTTCCCTAGCCGATCGCCGTGCTTCCCTAGCCGATCGCCGTGCTTCCCCTAGCCGTCGCCGTGCTTCCCTCGATCCCGTGCTTCCCTAACCGATCGCCGTGCTTCCCTAGCCGTGCCGATCGCCGTGCTTCCCTAGCCGATCGCCGTGCTTCCCTAACCGATCGCCGTGCTTCCCTTCGCCGTGCTTCCTAGCCGATCGCCGTGCTTCCCTAACCGATCGCCGTGCTTCCCCGATCGCCGTGCCTTCCCTAGCCGATCCCTAGCCGATCGCCGTGCTTTCCCTATTCCTAGCCGGCCGTGCTTCCCTTTCCGTGCTTCCTAGCCGATCGCCGTTGCTTCCCTAACCGATCGGCCGTGCTTCCCTAGCCGAAGCCGATCGCCGTGCTTCCCTCGCCGTGCTTCCTAGCCGATCGCCGTGCTTCCCTAACCGATCGCCGTGCGATCGCCGTGCTTCCCTAGCCGAGCCGTGCTTCCTAGCCGATCGCCGTGCTTCCCTAACCGGCCGTGCTTCCCTAACCGATCGCCGTGCTTCCCTAGCGATCGCCGTGCTTCCCTAACCGATCGCCGTGCTTCCCTAGCCGATCGCCGTGCTTCCTCGATCGCCGTGCTTCCCTATCGCCGTGCTTCCCTAGCCGATCGCCGTGATTCAGCAGCAGTGGTCACCGCTTCGAACCCCCTCTCGAACACGTTTTACCGTATTACATTTTACATACCTTAGTGTGGCGGGTACAGGCGAGCTACGGCAAGGAGGAATTCGTGCAGACGCTTGTTGGTCTCGGGGATGTTCATCTGGAACATCGCCCGAGCCAAATGAGCTCACGAAGTGGTATTTCCTCCTACCGTAGCGAGGAACTTTCGCCTTTGCCTCTCTCCACCTCCTTTCAATGGTGTTTGTGTGAGCGGCTGTAACAGGATCCACGAAATTAAGCGAGTGGTTCACTGTAAGGTGTTTGAATCCTTCATGTTGAAGACATTTATATGCCTTCCAACAATCACTTATTATAGTGGTTCCCGGCTCTATTTTTTTCTTTTATAATTTCGAGGAGAGTTTCTGCGTCTCTCGAAGGCACTGGGACCAGGATTTTTTGTTTTTGTTTTATCACCAACTGTCCTTCTATTACACGGCCAACATTATATTTGCGCTTTCCAACTTTACTCTTATCGATCTCAACTATTTTTTCAGGACCACCAATTTTTTTCTGAGGTATTATGCAAACACCAAGATATGCACACTTCTCGACAAAAACTCGCCCAGTCACATATGGTTTTCTTAGAGAGACCTAATTCGTCTCTTAATAATTCGTAAGAAAAATAATTTCTTAAATATAAATTGACGAAAAACAAATTAGTTTCAGTGTCGAGTTTGCTATTTTCAAACCAAGTGTTCCTGAAAATTGATCTTTGAAATTGGCACCTGACACGCCTATTGTGTATTTTCCGGGATTTGTCACACCTGAAAAGTTTTTTGTTCAGATCTGTGCGGCAGTCTGCGCCACACTTTTCACACTCAATTGTATCTAATACAAGGTTGTGGTCTTTGCACAAACGCAAGAGACCTTCACAATCGCCTGAAATTTTTTTGAAAAATTCGCCAAACCCACTGTCACAGTCTAGACACCGGTTAGCCCTACTTCAAACTGACCGGCTCTCAAAGTGGCAAACGCCTCCTTAGTTTTACTCCCGAGAACTCCTTAGTTTACGCTCTAAGAATGAAATGCAACGGTTGTAAAAAAAATGTTAAACACAGGCCATAACCGACTAAAGACTGTCAATGTGAGCCCCCCCAAAATGTAAATAACATAATCGGTTTATACAACCGAAAATATTAAGATAGATCCGTATGAAATATGCATGAAAAGTTAAAAAGTACACGATTCGTAGTGACGTCATGTGACGTACATGCGCAGTGGCCCAGCAGTAGGTGTGAAAACTGCGCAAGAACTTTGTAAACATTAGGTCGCGTGTGGACTTTGTCGCTGGAGGCGCATGGGGACTTTTTGCGCGTCACATTTTCGTCGTTTAACTTGAATAGGTTCACCTCTGCAAATCAATATTCATAGCGAGGTATGTAATTTTCCATCGCCTACAACGCTATGATATTCAATTTTCTCCTAGTCGGTGCGGTCCTATCATAAACCTTTTCCAACGTGATGATTGGGATCGCGTTAAAAACAAATTGCAAAAATTATGATTCTAGATTATTTCCTGGATTATGCGGCAGATCATATCAAGTGTCATTGTCAATTTGATATCAGCTAATTACATATTAGATATTCAATAAATATACCTATAAACTGTCGTAATTATCACATTATCTGTCATATTTATATCAGACTCATATCATGAAAATATAGATCTTATCCGTTTTTTTTGGCAGCCCCAGTATTTTCTTTTGGTAATTTTCTATATTACGTCCGCATAACCGATATCGACGGTTTTGGTATCGTTGGATTCCTCTCACTCTATACAATGCAAATATGTAGGTTTTATTGCGAGAAAACCCCCGTTAGCGACAAACTTGGCCCCGATACCTTGGGCGACGATGTCGGAGCGGCGGACGTAATATATAAAATTACCCTAATAATATAACCTCAGTGAAAATAATCATGGTTATTCACATGACTTTCCATTGCAGGGGGCTGTGGCCCCTGCAAACCCCCTTGGGGGGCTGCCGCCCCCCAACCCCCGCCGAGGAAACAAAATCTCCACCACGTATTCACGGCAGGATAGGGCGCACACGAACTAGATGCGGAGCGGATAACCTACAATAACCTAGGATTTTTAAGTTACTAACCTGATTGATTAATGCCGCTAATTAGTAGGGAGGGTGCTCCTTTGCCGCAGAATGTGAAGGAGGCAGGGTGCGTCCTGGCTGCCCACACCTGCCGCAGGCTTTCTCCCGACGTGGCGGAAGCACATCTCTAGCATTTTTTCCTGGCTAGTTGCAATTTCGCGCAGAAAATCCGTCTCCGAATACGAGCACCCTCCACACTCGGCCATCGCGGCGACTATGACTGACTTCTGAACGCGACGGTTATTTCGGTTGGGAATACGGATGTCGTTATTCCAGGGGAAGGGAAACTCGACCTTGAGGCCATCGGTGTAACATCGAAAGAGGCGCAAAACCCGCCGACGAGGGCGGGCCACCCTGTTCATCCTGATCATACTACAATCGTCTCTATATACAATGTTGACTATACTAAGGTTAATATGCTGATTCAGTGGGAATCTTACGAGGTAATTGTAATAATACGCCCGCCGCTCCGACATCGATGATTGTGTAACGCTCTAGCCTGCCGGGAATACGTGGTTTTGTTTCCTCGAGGGGGGGGGTTGGGGGCCGTAGCCCCCCCAGGCGGGGTCGCAGGGGGCGCAGCCCCCTGCAATGGAAAGTTATGTGAATAACCATAGTTATTTTCACTGTGCGTTATATTATTAGTGCTATTTAAACCCGCATTTTCCCTGGAACCTTCCATGCCCTCCCCTGCTATCAGGGTCAAGTTTGTCACTAACGGGGGGTTTCCGCGCAATAAAAACTATATATTTGCAATGTGGAGAGTGAGAGGAATCCAACGATACCAAAATCATCGGTTATGCGGACGTAATATAGAAAATTACCTTTTCCCCAGTATTTTCTTTTCTTTTAGTGAATATTCTTTCTTCCTTGTCTTCTACCTTTGTGTTATCTTCACCTATGTTAAGGAAGCATTCAGACTGTGATGGTATGACAACGGAAAAAAATTACCTTTTCAAAGTGCCACGCTTCGTCAGTCCGAAGAAATTTCAAAACAAAACAAAAAGCTTCGAATACTGTTTCATAAGGTATTCGATCCTGTTTCGTTACGGAGTGTTTCGAGGCTTCAATCTCGCAAGTAGACTTAAATTAAGGGATTTGTACAGTTACTTATAGCAAGAAATTGAAAATGCGGACAAAACTTATGTTTTCCATATATTTTTTTTCTATCTTGGCAACACTCCAGAAAGATGGAAGCTGTGGTTATTACTAAAGCATGAATAATTTAGCAGTGTTGATATTCACACTATATATTATCATCACTATCACAGGCGACCTTACTGCAACATCACCACTATCATCACCAGCCCTCACTTTTAACCCTATTATTATTATTATTATTATTATTATTATTATTATTATTATTATTATTATTCATCATTATTGTCGTTGGTCGTTATTATTGTTATTACAATATTAATCGTAGAAGATATATGATCTGATTAATAAGCTTATTTTTACGGTAATCTTAACTTAACAAGTAAATATTGATAAATATAAAGAACAATACGAAAATATATTAATAAAATCAAAATAAGTATATATATATATATATATATATATATATATATATATATATATATATATATATATATATATATTATTATACACAGACACACACATATAGATAGATATGTATATATATAGAGAGAGAGAGAGAGAGAGAGAGAGAGAGAGAGAGAGAGAGAGAGAGAGAGAGAGAGAGAGAGAGAGACGAGAGAGAGAGAGAGAGAGAGAGAGAGAGAGAGAGAGAGAGAGAGAGAAGAGAGAGAGAGAGAGAGAGAGAGAGAGAGAGAGAGAGAGAGAGAGAGAGAGCGAGCGAGAGCGAGAGAGAGAGAGAGAGAGAGAGAGAGAGAGAGAGAAGCGAGAACAGAAAGAGAAAGCGATGAACAACCCTTTTTCAAAATTACTCGACAACCAATTCAACCCGTTTCACTCACGAATTTCTCCTTACTTCCAGAACGTTCGAGAAGGTCTCCATCTACTGCGAGTCCTTCATAGACCTGATCCCGGTGTCCTTCGTCCTGGGCTTCTACGTGAGCATCGTCGTCCAGCGTTGGTGGGACCAGTACATGTCCCTCCCTTGGCCCGACTCGCTGGCTCTCTTCGTCTCCACTTCGATCCATGGCCAGGTACTCTTTTGTTTTATGTTTTGTTTCCCTTTTTCTATGGTGGGTGCGTTTTTTTCTTTTTTTTGTGTGTTTGGTTGTCTGTCGGTCTGTCTGTTTGTGGAGTGTTTATGTCAGTTTGTGTATTATGTGTTAGTGTATGTAGGGTATGTAGTGAATGTTTAGGACTGCATTGGATGTAGGTCTGTAGGTACCGTAATGTAATAAGTTGCCCTCCATCTCGTGTGACTATATATATTAATATATATATATATATATATATATATATATATATATATTATATATACATAGATAGATAGTAATAAATATGTATGAGATATGATATATATGTATATATATATAGTATATATAATATATGTATATATTATACATATATATATATGTATATATGTATGTATGTATGTATATATTATATTATGTAATGTATATCTATGTGTATGTATGTATGTGTATACAGGCGGTCCCTATAATTCGTCAATTGCTGGTTCATTCTCACATCGCCAAAGTTTTTGTTGACAGCAACGCAGAAATTCCCGCTCCTTCTTTATTGAAGCATTCCCGCGCGGTTCTCCACGATAGAGCAAAGACGAAAAAAAACGCTAAAAAAAGCGAGAACTTGTAGACGTAGGGCAAAGCAAGAGAAAAGATTTATGGCGCGTACGAATTGGCTTATAGCGAAGCGGGCGGGAGTGGAACGTCAGTTTCGTTCTTATCCACTTCTGTTTCAGTTTCGAGACAACGGTTGGTGAAAGAGGGATTGAGAATGCTGAAGGTGGATTGAAGAGAATTATCCACATCATTTTTAAGATAAAGCCTTTAAAAAAAATGAATCAGGGGGTATGTTTTTCTTCCTGTTTCATAAGCCGTTGTCTTGAAGTTGAATCGATGTGGATGACCTCTAAATTGATGATGCTCATAGGCCTATCGTCATCTCCATAGGTCTATCATAAATGGGAAAGCTAGATCAGTAGCAACTCGAGGAGGTGTCATGGCGTCTGATTCTATTCTTAGAAAACATGGGGTTTATTATGATGACGTCACAAAAGTTACGGATGCTTTGTGAATATGGTCGATCATTTTGGTCTTTTCAGTTTTCAAAAAGGATGGAAAATAACGATTTTAATGGTTATATTTTCATTGAACAATCATCAAAACAGACGCCATGACACCTCCTCGAGTTGCTACTGATCTAGCTTCTCCCTTGCATAGATGTGGATGACTTCAAAATTGACGATGCACATAGGCCTATCGAAATCTCCATAGGCCTATCATAAACGTCCTGGCGCTTTGCCACACCTTCGTCAGCGCATTGCGTATAATTCAATTAAATTCCTTTACTCTTTGTTCGCATTATACGCTTCATTTAGTGTTGCAGAATGTGTTGTATTCCTGTAATTTTGAGAAATATATGTAGGGATGCTTTGATTAAGTTCCTAGTTGAAATCTATTATAATGTATTCATACGGGGCATTATACATCGCTATTTTCCGTTTTCGCTTTTCGTTGCATTTTTGCGGTCCATATTAAGGACAAAAAATGAGGACCCCCTGTATATATTCCTGTTATACACTGAATCTATTTTTCCAAAGATTTTATTCCTTTTGCAAAATGTGCTCTGGTTGCTAAAAGGTGCTCAAGGAAGCTAAAATCTCAGCTAAAATGACAACTTCTGTTCACTTCTGGTTGCTGCCTAAACTGTGAATGCTACTGATTCCTAATCTTCAACTTCATATTCTTAATTTTGTTATGAATAATAATAATAATAAAAGACTGAAGGTTCTACACGATTCATATGGAAAGCCTCCATGTGTAACTTGGAAAGGATGTTAAAGCAGTGTTTCTTATAAGACGGTTTAGATGACACATGTATCCGCTGCTTGTAGATCTCATAGTTGCTGTTGTAGTTTGCTATATATGCATTTTAATTGTTTAGGATACAAACATGTGGATACTTTCAGCATTCTCTTATAAATGTGTATGTCATGGAATAACACTTGGGTTGTACTTAATTAATGGGACCTGATATTACACAGGAAAATGCTTTAGACTTTGTTAATATTTTTATCCAGGTTGGTTTGTAAAGTGTTTTCATTTCATCAAACAAGCTTGCTTTGATGTATCAGTTTTTGGTTTCTGAAAATGGATTAAAGTAAAGAACTGTTCACTATTTAAACTCTAAATATACAGAATTCAATGCAGAATAACCGTTCCATGTATGTATTAAGTGTTATTAAATGTATTAAGTGTTATTCCAGTGTTATGTACTTCATGTTTACTCACTATGTCATCTGTAGAACCAAAGTACTATTGCATCATGTATTAAGTAGGACT